TTTACCCGTTGACGGGTACTTTTGTTTGAAGGCGGTAGTTTTCATACACATAACAGGTCTTTTATTACTATTACTCTTGTAAATTATATAGTTTCTAATAATTGACATTATGTAATATCTTCTAGAATATCCAGGCCCTCTTTCATTGGTTCGTCAGGTTCAATGATTTCATTTTGTTGTTCTACACCAGCTCAGGTGGCTCAGGATATCAATTGATGTCCCTGCAGGGCCTCTGACTGGGAGGTCCTGGAGTTCGCGTCCCGGCGGGGGCAACATTTTCGACACTTTCAGCTCGCGTATGAAGAAGAATCCTAGCGGCCGGCTGCTCTGATCGATAGTTTTCTGTGGTTTCTCCAATCAACACCAAGAGAATGCCGAAACAGTACCCTATCAAACGGACCACGGACCGCGCGCGATCTTTCCTTGCCATTTCCTCACCGATTACTTACACACAGTTACATTTACATGCCACTCATGCTAGGAGACCAGTAGGGAGCTTAAAGCTTGCTCCGGGGAGGCGGTGCCCCGCTGGTGGGAGATACCTGTTGGGGAAAACCCCGCAAGCCGAGGGCAGGTCGGCTCCTGCTCTCCCACCACCACCTCCACCTCATTAAATCATGCACTACACTTATGGGAATAGTGACCTGTTCCCTGTTTGTAGCAGTTGTACAAAAGTTTTCTAAGCCTTTTAATTCGCTAATCAATTTCTGCTAAGTTTACGCCCTCAGGTTAACTAAAAAAACACTACTGCTTGTGATTGATTCTTTGACACATATTCAACATACTTGTCACGGATATACTCACGTGTCAAAAAACCATTCATTAATGACGTTCTGAACTTGGACACTGAGATTCTTGTTTGTAATTAGTTTGAATAATTAATAGAGAGTGGATTTAATTTATTTCCTGGAACAATCTGACAAATAAGGACAATAAATACTGGTTTAGAGCGCAGGTCAAAAACTTTTCAAGCTACTTAGCAACTGCAATTCTTTGAACAAAATCTGTTGGATTGATAGGAATAAACTTGTAATTCATATTGCACTACTCCTTATAGCACGTGATTGTACTCCGTCCCTTCTTGAATTTCACAGTTGCCAAATCATCACCCAACTCTGTTAATGGCAGTAGCGGCTCGTACTTAAGTTGCACAAACCCCAGATAATCGAACGAATTATTCTTAGTATATTTTTTTTCATTTAATGATATCCTTATACACGAAATCGTTTGGAAAGCCTTTGAGTCAAAGGGTGGCTGTCGAGCGCCCTCCCGAGTGTCTCGTGCACTTCCAGGCAGAGCACCGATGTCCCAAGTTCTTTTACTGTGATTACTTTGACCGCGCATCCCGATGCCTCACCGCAGGTCCCCGCAGGCGACGTTTTCCCTCCGAAACGTTCGCAAGATAAAGCCACTTATCTTCCACCGCAGGACAGTAGCCCAACAAAGCCAACGGAGGTGGGGACGTCTCGCCGCAGACCGCAGCGGGGAATCCCAGGGGAATACCAATTTCCTGTCTTCGTCTGTTTCTAGTACTCACGCAACTTTTCTTGAACGATGGATTGAAGAAATGCGGGAACAGTGTGGGTATTAGTTAAGTAATTATGCCTTTGCAACGTTCTCAATAAATTGCGTTCTAACTTTATCAGGAGTTCGAGGTATCTCCTGGGATAGATCTTTACCTGCTTCGGTCATTTCTTTAGATTTTTGTAGAAAATAAGCGATAGAAGTTTTCGGCTTCAAAAGAAAATAGTTTCTATTTAGGGTCAGTGAAAATGTGTTTGGAATGTTGCCTTCAGTGCTCGCTGCGAGCTTTTGCCTTCAACTGTTTATTCTGCCAGAGAGGGGGAAGCAAGGTCATCTTTCAAGAAAAGTTGTGCGATAAATAGCAGCAACCTACTTTTACGGATATCAGGCGTCATTGAAAGTACAGAAGTTCAGTCAGTTCTTGACAGTATTGAATACATTATGTATGAGGAATTTATTTTTATTTGATGAACCCTTTGTGAAAAGTTTGTCGTTCTGGAAGTAAATCCTCTTAGAGATAGTAATTGTATAAGTGTTGTTGCTGTGGCTGCTTGAAAAATCATCTTCAAGGAAATGAGAATCTTTACCGATTTAAGAGACAATTCTTCCCAGAATAATTACATATCTTCCATTATTGCATCAAAATAATTTTATTTCGTTATCACCACCGCTTAACAACAATAACAACTTGAAATGAACTTGCGTAAAAAGTGTCTGAATAAAAGAACTAGTTTCAAAGTGTAATCACCGTATTTTCGAAAACCAGGTTTTCTTGTATGAATTCTATTACCGGTAATTTATCAATATCGGACTAATCCGCATAAAAACAACTCGAGTGTCCAATGGATATCAAAGGCAGAGCCATGTGCGCGAAAGGTTAACATACGTGACACCAGTGGCGGATCCCAAGGGCCCGTGCCCCCTCCCCCCCTCAAATGCCAACAGGGTTCGTTTGTTACCTTCCTCCTTTATTGGAAAAAATTGATTTAAATATTTATATTAGAATTATGTAATTATTTAAAAATAATATTAAATTGTATAGTATCATACTTTAAAACGAAACTTTACAATATAATAACAATTATGTTTATTTATTTTTTTTAAACCGATGATGCGCACCTCCCACGATCGGCAAGGTCCGCTCCAGCCTGACACAGCCAATGCGCATATGCAGTACATAACGTTTTATTAATCTTACTTTTAATTACTTTAAATTAATTGCTTACGTTTTATTATATTTCAGCGCTATGAATGTTGGAAATTTCACATCTGTCATTCCAAGGAGATGCAACTCTCGGCGGCTGCTAGCGTTTAATGCGCTTTCTGTCCGTATTTCAATATTTTTGGTTGTTATGTATAAGATGCTAACTGATAATACGACAAGGTTTTGAGGGAAAGGGTAATTTTGCAGAAACCATCTTCGCCCCATCCAAAGGGAAATGTAATATAGTTCAGGATTTTTCTATCTGTGCACGAACGTCTTGCACAGACGTCCCATTGCCCTTTGCAATATTTCAGAGCAAAATCCAACACCTATATTGCATCGTTATTTACAGAAGTTTGAATAGTAAATACCGAAACGTATACTTTACACCTAATTACGCGGTGCACTTGCGGGTAAAACAGTTGATCAGAGAAAAAAACAATCTGGATAAATTTGATACTTGCATTTCGTATCAGGTCCACACTAACGAACTAGTGGTGCTACAGAATAGCGCAGACTTTCCCGTATTAGTTTTCTATTTCCTTTGGTCTCGGCTAGCTAATTCGGTCTTGCCACATACCCTTCCCAGCTACCATCTATCGCCCGAAGTTTTATTTTTCTTTCTTAATTTTTCGGTTTTCTAATAGTATAACGGAATTATATTTTAAGAATATTCAAGGACAGTAAAACCTCTCCTTAAATGGCAATTTTCTTTGAAAAAATTGGAGCAGTTTTTAAGAAAATAGCGTTTAAGGACTACTGTAAATGTGAAATTTAAATGAGAGCGTAGGCTTAATTTGTAGGTGAAATTTAAACCTTTTTACACAGACAATTATGGAGTTTCCGAAAAACTTCACAAGTAGTAATTTCAAGCACTTCGTCCCAAATGCAATAGTGTTTACAAATCGCTGGAAATGTGAAGATTAAAGGCATGAGAGATCTTCCAAAAAAATTATATTAGTGTAATTACTGAAAAAAAAAATACCCCGAAATGAACTTTACGTCATATTAGAGTGCAATTAGCACTATCCCTTTGAAAAGTTTGAAGAAAAAAAATTGAGAATAAGGAGTTTGAGCATTTCTGAAAATGCGGAAGTTTGAGCTAGTTTTCACAGAAAATCGTTGAGTTTTCAAGAAACTTTACCTGACATTATTTAAAGCACATGTCATAAATGTAATAATGTGAACAAATTGCCGCTAGTAAAATAAACAACATGAGACGCAAGTAAAAAAATTACATTTGTAATTTTTGAAAAACAAAATAATAGAGCAATACGACGTCAATATTATAGAGTATATTTATGCACTACACACATACTTTTGGTATTGAAGCTACCAATTACTAGATAACCACATCACAGCTGATGTCACAAGTCACTATATTTATCCCGGACAATAGAAATCATATCAAAACTACACCAAAATTCTACTATTTGCTATTTTTGCACAACAATTGACTGGACTACTATCTGACCTCTCAGCCCAATTGCCTTTGGAGAGCTTCATTCCAAAGGACTATTGCAAGTTTTCTTCTCTAAGTAACATTATTTAGAAACTCTGTCACTAAACTGATCTAATACATAAAGCTTAAATTACAATTAATAATTAAATTATTCTTTTATAGTATAGTTTAATATTAGTACTTATAAGAGTAATTATGCCTCAACATACAAGTACACAGAAGTAACACAACACATGGAAGAAGTCATATAAAATTGTTTTTAATATAATGAACAATTATTTAATCCTTTTCCCAAATTCCTCTCCATCAAAGAATTAAAAAGGCTCTTGCAAGCAAACGCTCAACTCTTGACATGTTTTCAAAGTAATTTGTAAGGAAAATTAAACTTTGCAGGACAATGTAGTCTGATTCATTTTTCATCCTAATTATTTTTAACACAACTTCACCTAAACATCCAAATCTATATTACTTTCTGAATACTTCTTACACACAAAAAATGTGCATGTGCATTTAACAAGGCAAATTTAAAAGGGCAATAAAACTAAAAGAGAAACCTTTTAATCTTGAATTGTGTAAGTGAACTTCACAAATCATACTGACAAAGATATTCCTCAAGTGTATTTTAAAATACCTCTGAATCTAAATATTTATTATTCTACTAAGAAAATGAACCATTTTATGTACATTGGTTTGACTAAACAAAAACAAAACATCATAAAATACGTTCAATTGAAAGAATATTGGAAGTTTTGAAAAATATTTCTCATGCAGGTGAACGTTGTTCTTAACAGAAATACAATTTTTTCGTATAAATAAATGTGAAATATTTGATTAATCATTCAAATTGTATAAATCAAGAAAAATTCCAGAAAAATTTCAGCCAATTTTATTTTAAACAATAAGTCATATGAAATACTTGTCTCGAAAAAAAACAAATTTACTTTCTAATAAAGCAAACAATTTTTTTCATTTAATCATTTCTTGGTATTACATGCTTTCATTTAATAATTTGATGTAAGGCATCCCAGTGCCCCCTACATGGACATCCCAACAAAAGCAATTAACCTGGTTTGGTTACAATTCTCAATTGCAATTGCTCAAATGCATATCGAACTAAACAAATGCTGAGAAGCACAAACTAAAAACAATTTCTTAAGAGAGAAATAACACAGATAAATTGAGTTTAATTTTCCAACATTATTGCTCACATTCCCAGGAATTCAAATTTTAAATAGAACAGAAACTGGTAAAATAAATTTATGTAGTGCAAATATTTCAACTGTTCACGGCCAATGATCATCCTCCTAATACCCCCTCCCCATTTCTTTCATGAAAAATATATTTTCCTAAAGAAATAAGTTGCGCTAATCACTTATAAATAAACAAAAACATAAATTGTGATATTAAGCTTTAGAAATATATCATGCTTACTATAAAAATAGTAAAATGATATGAGACATTGGGGAGACGTAAAATCTACACTATAAATCATTTTTTCTCACTACACAATTTCCCTTTTTTTAATAAAATAAATGTCCAGTCACATCTACTTTATAAAAAATGCAGCATAAAAGAGCCTTTTCCATAAGTGGAAAGAATTTCTCCAAAATAATTCAAACAAGAGTTTTAGAGGGAAAAATTAAATTATCACCATTTTAATTATTATAAACGGTCAACAATTAATTTAATTTTCATCTATATACATGGCATTTCATTTATTTGAATTTTCATTGCAAATGCAGAGTGGAAGAAAAATTTTTCATTTACGCCAACCCTAAAAATGACAGTAAGTGTGAGTTAAATATCAATGCTTTTCAATAATACAATTGAGACAAATATAGCAGGTAAAATTAGGTTTTAAACAAAATTTTGTCAAAAAACAAGTAATTACTTTCCAAATTTGAACAAATCAGACACAAATCTACAGAGGTAGCAAAATTTACACTACAAGACTTTCAATTTATTTACACATAATTATGCTGCAAGTTTTCTTGTTGCTCCATGACTCACTGTAGCATTCAAATCACGTTCACAATTTGCATAAGCTACACCAAGACCAAATCCAGCACCCAACAGGATAGGCCAACCACGCCCTACAACGTAACAAAAATTTAGAAACCACACACCACAAATAAAGTCAATATAAAATCAAAAAACATACTTACGTTTAAAAAATAGTAATGAAAAAACAGCTCCTACTGCAGTGCCACCACCTGAAATAGTAATTCAGGTGAACCATTGACAACAAATAATCTTAAAATCATAGTCTCAACTGGTTCAAAATTTGGATCCTAACCAGAAGGCTGTATAAATTAATAGGAAATATCAAAATCTGGCAAACCTAATGTATAACCTCACTTAACTTTAGTAACATATTTAGTTATACATTTTATTTCTTGCCAAATTTACTTGATGAAAAGCAATGCAGATGGTGTCAGAAAGTGTTGGAAGTAAAAACTAGAACTGTTTTATATGCAGTAACTGAGGTTACCCATCATCCATCCAATGTTTGAATATATCAAATACGTCTTGTTCAAGTTGATTTCAAGCAATCATATGTAACAGGGAAACATACCAATTTTGAAAACCGAATCAGTGAGACATCTGTCCCACTTCTTGCCCATTTCTTCTTCAGACCAGGTGTTTACGCCCACAGCCATTTTTGCAGTAGTGCCCAGTCGGCTCGCCGATCACTCCAGTTCACTCACACTTGGGTCAGTTCCTCTTTCGGAGAGCACGAACAGGGAGAGCTCGTCAAGAGCCGGCCTACGGTATATCGTTTAGGTGAGAATTGTCACATTTCAGTCGCATAATGCAATGTCAAATTAGAAGAGACCAAAAAAGGCACCCCAGTCATTATATTAAATAATTATCTTCGTGTTTGATTTTGTCTTTTGTTTAATAAATTCACGGCCACCTCATGTGGACGAAAACATGTACTTAAAAATATTTTGAAAATAGACTGATATATCAAAATTATTTTTATTACAGTATTAAGATTTATAAAATATTTTGATAATTGTGTGATATTTTGAAAATATTGTACTAATGATTTCTGTGATGAAAATATGTATTTAATAATATGCAGCGTACAGATTGATTTTTTTTAATTATTATTTTATTCTCTCAGAAGTAGAAAAGAAAAGAAACGTGATAATATTGCACTTTTTTGACTTGTATTTGCTTCGCGCGCAATTTAATTTCCGGGTATGGTACACGTGAACAGTAATACCTGTGTATTTAGTACACCTATATGCTTGGGTTACGCAACTCTGTATTTTAACTGAATGAAAATGTTTAAATGATCTATTTAATCACCTCTGCTTTACCATGACAAGGGCATTCTCTTTTAGTGTGAGTTCCTTTCTTTGTGGTTTCATTCTTTTTTCTTTCATCGGACCAAGAGGTAGTCTTCTTTCTGGTCTTAGGATTCTCTGCCTGCCTAGCTGCCGCCAACTACTCAATCGCGAATTGTCTACCTAAACACTTTCCTTTTTTACTTCGTTATTTTGGTTTCCATAAATGCATACTTGCTTTAAAGTATAATATATACGAATAAATATAGATTGTCGATTTCAGTGTAATTCTGAAATGTAATGGAAACTTCTCGGAACTTCACATTAAAAGGTTTCCAATTACCATGCCTTAACAGATTATTTACACCAGAAATAGTGGGAATTTAAATATGCAAAGTGTAGACCTAGTAATCATCAGAATGATAAATATTGTAAAGAGCGAAAAGTTTGCGAAAAGATAAAGTAGATAAACAATGAAAGGGGAAAAGTGACTTGTGATACGTGATACAGCAAAAACGTAAAAATCGTTATCGAAATTAATGATTGATGTACGTTAATAAAGGGAAGATCGCATACTTCCCCGTAAATCTTGAATTAATACTGTAAATAACTGTATACTATTAACTGTAATTTATACGTTCTTTCGTTCAATGGCTTCTTGAAGGGCACACGCTGGATAATCCTGAGAATTCTAATGAAAGTTGCGATCTCTGTTACGTCATCCAAACGTGCTAAAAGACACGTGAATACAGTCATTCTAGGTAGTGTGACGTGCGGTTTCATTGTAGTTCATGGTCCATTCTATTATAATTCACAGGTGCAGCGGAGGCTGAGCGGATCTGAGAAGGCATAACAACTTAATTTTTTTCGTGTATTCCAACAATAACCCCTCCTGACAACAATGCCGCTCGAAGACTACAAAGATATTGTTGCTACATCAGCAAGCGTTACCACAATAGCGCAAATGCTTTCAGGAGTGTGAGTTCTTGCATGTTATTTAATTATGACATAAGCAATTGAGAAATGTTTGTTTACTAAAATGCCATGTGTCGTTTTGAAACAGGGTTATATGTTATGATATAGTAAAGAAAGGATCTACTGAAAATATTGCTGTGATGCCTTTTCTAGGTGGCACTGCAATGTAAGTAAAACTTTTATGAAATTCTGCAACAGTTCTTATTAATTTAAAAGTGATATTTAATGGAGAAACATATGTTTCCTGTCCATTTACTTTTTAGGAGTATGTTGATGCTGGAATATTCTAATATATTGAATGATCCAGCTATGACACAAGTGAATTGGTTTGGCTTAATTCTCAATTTTGGATATCTTGTCTGCTATTATATATATACTGATGACAAGGTAATTTTCTTACAAACAAATATCTGCTTAACTTGCAATTCAGTGTAAATTTATTCTTATTATATTGTTTTCAGAAATCAGTTCGTTCTCAATCGTTTCTTGCATCTCTTTTTGTGGGTGCTTTTATATTATATGCTAAATTAGAATCTCCAGATTTGGTGGAATTTCGTTATGGAGTAATCATTACTGTTCTCTTGATGTTACTGATAGCATCACCTCTCTTCTCTTTGGTATGCTTGAAATTTGTATTTGCTTTTTATTTAATTTTTATTATTTTTAAATTATTGTTTCTTATTTGAAAATGTATCTTTTGTTTTCAGAAAGAAATAATTCAGACTCAGAGTACTGCAACTTTACCTTTTCCCCTTATTCTTACCGGTACACTTGTTTCAGCTCAGTGGCTGCTGTATGGTATCATAATTAAAAATGAATTCATACAGGTAAGCTGACCTAGTTTATTAAATTTTCAGGAGGAACATGATTTTTATTATTATTTTATTTCCCCTTTGTTTGATTGTTGATATTTGTTATTAATAATTTTCACATTTCAGTTTCAGAACGTTGTTGGTTTTGGGTTGTCTGTAATTCAGTTGTCTCTATTTGCAATTTATCCAAGTAAACCCAAGAAGAAGGCTGAATAAAGACACAGTAGTGAATAGCATTCCCAATCCAGTTATTGGATGGCATGAATAATTATGTTGTTGCACATTCCTCTTCTGGAGATGACCAAGTGTGCCTTCCTTTCTGGCTGCAAATTTTTTGTGGTCGATGTGCTAATTCTGTTAAGTCAAGATTTTACATAATGAGATGAAATAGAAAAAGTGAAGTTGTGTAAAAAGAAATATGTGTTAGCTGAAACTCGCTGCTGATAATTAATTAAACCAAATACGCTCTACTGTCACCTCACTTTAAAAACCATCTAGGTCCCATTTTCCTCGTTCATATTATATAACGAATCTTAATAAAAACATTTTGATGAATCTTAGTTAATAACATGTAATAATTGTTACTTCATCCTATAATAATGAAAAACAAATTGCATCAAAACATTAAGACTAGAGCTTTTATTCTGACTTACTGATAACAGTTTGAAATATGTTTTCTTCTCTCCTATAAAAATTGGGTTAAAGTAGGGTACACGGTACACCCTCAGAGAAGCATGGCAGCGGGGAGGGAGTTGTCTTCTTAAGCCCTCCCTTAAATTACGTTATGTGCTGTGATAGAAATTACGGATAGGCGATTTTCATGTCTTTGCTCATCATATACTTTGCCCCCCCCCCGCATTGTAATGTCAATTTACTATCAATGGCTAGTTTTCTTGCTTCTCTTGCTCAGACCTAAGTCACGGCGAGGCTCGGGCCTTTCCCCCTTGCATTCACTATAAACATCCTTGAGTCTATCCACTGCATAATTACCAATTCACTTTTTTAATAAAGCACTTTTCAAAAAGCCTCCAGAATGCAAACTGTGCAGTTGCCGCCAGAGCTGTGCGGAGTGCTGGTTTAAACTTCTGTTAGTTTCCCTGTATACTAGACTTCAGACCCCCAAAATATTTTTTTGGGGCTTTGGTTTTGTAAAATAAGGTGGCAGTATGCAATGGCTTCATTTTGCATAATTCACATTTTTCTTCATATCAAGAATTGATATTAGCTCCTAGAGCTCACGTATCATAAACAAGACATTCAATTTCTTAATATATATTTTATAATTGAATTTTGAGAGCTATTTTTTTAAAATGCATGTAACTTGTCAACTGTGGTAGTGATTTTTATATCACATTGAATGCTATATACAGATGATACACTTAATTTTTTAAGCTGTACATCTCAAATCAAAGATTTATTTCAATGAATTTTGGTTAACTTTTAAATCAAATTAGTTTTTGGTCATATAAATTTTATAAAATAAAGTTTTGAAATGTTATTTATGAAATATTAAAATGTTAGGATTTATGAAATAACCTTTATTGTAAGAAATTGTTTTGTGATATTGTATTTAATATCTTGTTACAGTATTTAACTTCGTTATTATTGAAGTTTTTAAAGTTTAGGGATTGAATGTATACAACAAAAGTGTATATTTTTGTATGTGAAACTGGTGGATGTATAATATTTGTACGTAAAAGAATCCAATAACAGGGTATATCAAAGTGTACATTCTGTGATGTGTGGTATACAGGAGTGTTGAGAGGAGTGCCTTAATTGCTTCCTTACTTGCACTGTGGTACTTCTTGTATTAATTTTTACAAGACATTTTCCCCATATTTTTCATTTTGTAATGTGCATTATTGCCATCTTTGTCCATAGAATGGAAGACTTGAACTACATTTTTTACTTACAAAGGATCATTTCTGATGTATATCTAAGTATTATATTTTTCATTGATATTAGCAGTTTTTCATATTCGTTTCTTCAGAGCAAGTTTTGTTGAAATTTACATAAAAAATTATCTTGAGTCGTAAGTTGGGAAAGGAATAAAAATAATGGTTTAGTTTCATATAAGAGAGCGCATTAAGTCATTAAATGCTTTTTGTAACGTTATACATGAACGCTCTTTGTTCCTAGAACGACACATTCCTGTAATAGAATAATTATACCTAGATTTACTGTATTCCAATTCTGTGCTTTTTAAAAAGTGACAAAAGTTGTCTTTATTTTATCATACCAGTGTTCTTAAGATTATCACTAAGATAGTACTAATACCATTAATATTAGTTCAGTATAGCTATTACTGTACTAAAATTAGTACAATATTAGTACTAAATCAGTACAATATTAGTGCTAAATATCATATTTCATTCCTTAATTTATGAAGATTATTTTGATGTATATGATTAGTTTCTGTAATATTTTTATGTAATGTTATTTCAGATCACTTTTTCCATATAGCACATATTTATTTTGTTAACAAAAAAAAGGATATCATAAGAGTTAGGAAATTATTTAAGTATTACATCTTATTTAGTGACAAAAAGTTGTTAATTATTATTCTTCATATTATCTTTCTACCTTGTTAATTTTTTTGAAAGTTAACAAATATATATTTTTATCCATTTTTTGAACCAGCCTGTTTCATAGAGTAATCTCTCTCCTTATCTTGAATGACATGATTTATGCTAATGGAATGGAATAGAGAATGAAATTAATTTGTGCTCAGATAAATGTGAATTTGTTAATAAGTTTGGAATAAACTGATTTGAGGTTCAGTAGAATGCATTATGTGATTGAAAAGACAAAATCTCTCCATGTTCAGATGTTTTGTGTTTCGTAAATCTGATGTGCCAGAAATTCAAACATGTTCTATTACAAGTTGTTTTCAATTACATACTCAAATATGTATGTTTTCAGAAAATGTAGAACTTTGCTTTATATTCATGTCATTAATAAATCAATGATTCTGAGCAGACTGATAATTTTCTGTTTGTAGTGTATAATTATACTTCTTTTGTACATTAACAATGTAAATTGTACATTGATTTGTTGATTTCGCCCTTTCAATATAACGACCACAGCAGTCCTCAATTCTTCTGGGAAGTAATCATATATCCAGCAGACATTTAAGAAGTCAAGGAGCTGCAGCAAAAATCTTTCGGTTGCATATAATGCTGTGAGAGTATTCCCTTTTCTAACTACTCCTTCCTTCCTCGCTTACATTCCTGTCTTCAATGTCGTCACGTCGCGTTCCATCAGACATAAGGCCTGTGTATCCATCTTAATTTTCAGTTTGTTTAATCATTATGCCTATACCAGCAGATCTCATCACAATAAGTTTATATATATTCTTTAAAATTAAAAGTAATTTATATAATTATTTACTGTAATCAATCAATACACACTATAAAAACTCCCTTATCCCAATTGATTATGTATTTCTCTTTGAATGACCTTTTCATTAACTATTGCATTAAAATTTTTTTGAAATAGCAGGCTAAATGGCCTGAGCCTTGCCATCAATAAAGACATTTAATTTATTTATTCATTTATATTTGATGAGATTGTTGTTGAAGTTATTTGATTCAGAAACTTTCCTATTTTAAGAGCCTTCTTCAATTTGCCCATTGCTGTTGGGTCTGCTATTTCTTCCTTCAATATCATTTCCTCTTCTTTGCAAGATAATCAAGCCACTTATCTAGAATGAAATTGGGGTTTACGTTATTGATCTCATTTTTATTAAACTTGAATGTTTTATAGGCTTTTGTCTGTTGGCCATGCAAATTGTGTTCTGATTTTTATTTATTTATAAAAAACATTGAAAAACTGTGTGTGACATGCTATGGAGAGAAGTTAATTTGAAGTTGCATTTATGTCCAGAAGCAAAACATGTGGCCATCTCAGCATTTGCTCAAGGATCAGGGAAACTGGACAAAAACCTGATAATACATTAAATGTCATTGTTAAAATTAATATTACTGTCCTTTTGGATGCTTGGTATAGTCTCAATTCTGTGAGAAATGTTTCCCAGCTCTGTCAATTCATTCATTGTACTTCTCTTTTAACTATTGCTGATAATCTTTGGTATTCTTGAAGTGACAAAGAACAGAGCTAGTATTGGTGATGAGCATCCTTTTTTCTCTAATGCGATCTGCTAACTTTTCCTTCCATTTTCATAGGCCATGTTTGCTTTGTCTTTCTCAAAGATTATTCTGTGGTTTTGAAAATGATATATTTTAGAGAATTCCACCTCCCATTGATGTTTTGAGTCTTACTGACTTTTGACACTGAATATGTGTTGATCCATTCTTTGTTGGTAAAGTTATCTTGTAGTCCTATTCTCTTCCTGTAAATAGTTCTTCTCATGCCTTTGTTCTGTTTGTAGATGATATTTATACTGGAAGAGTATTTTAGACATTATTATGATTTGATCAATACCAACTTCATAGTTTCTGTAAACCCTCACATCTTGTACTAGTCTGTCATCTTATTAATTAGCACATAATCTATAATTGACTATCTTCCTTGTATGTTTCGTGGATTTCCTTAAACCTTTCCTGTTAGTAACTTTTAATGAATTCAAAGATGCAAATTCTATCAGATTTTTCTCTTTTCTGTTATGGGTCCCTTCTCCATTTATGCCTTCTGCTGATCGGTGTATTACCAACTCTCACATTCAAGTCCCCGACAACAATCAAGTATTAGTTCTTACTTTGTTAACAACATCCTGAAGAACCACATAGAATTTCTTAACATATTTTCATCTTTCTTCAGGAGCATTACTACTAATAGAGAACTGTCCTATTTGCATTTGGGATTAATTCATTCATTTATGAATGTAGTGCTTGATTTATAAAATTGTAGGTTCCGGAATGCATCCCAAATTAATTATTAATTTAATACAAATAGTTATATATTTATAATATAATTTATTAAATATTCCCGAAGTACCGGAACACCATTCCATCAGAAATCAGGCCTGTGTATCCATCTTAATTTTCAGTTTGTTTAATCATTATGCCTATACCAGCAGATCTCATCACAATAAGTTTAAATATATTCTTTAAAATTAAAAGTAATTTATATAATTATTTACTCTAATCAATCAATACACACTATGAGACACACACTATGAAATACTTTCCATGAATATCTTGTTTACCTTATATAGCTCTAAAATACATTGCAAACAAATGTAATAATTACACAAGAATGGCCACGAGTTGATAAGCAAAATGCTGTAGGTGGAAATATATTTTCAAGAAAATGGAGAGTAAGTACTTTTTGGCGCTCTATTTGAATTAACGCTTGAACAATCGCAATTGTATCATTTCCATTTACAAAATGACAAAATCGCGTAATTTTTTACTGGTTGAGCGTCGCATCACATAACACGCATGGCAATTAACAATCACATTTTGTAAATGCATACCCTACACCCAATGAGTTTTTTCTTTGAAAAAACAAATTCATACCATTCAGTAATTAAACTTTACTACCTTACTAAAACATGATTATGTGTTATCAACAATAATATAAAATACATTAAAACCTGTCTTAGACGGAATCGTTTGCTCGACATTTTATCATGCTTATTCAGGTTTGGAATTAAATCGGAAAATGCAACGTTCAAAGATGGAGTAGGTTGAATGACTAGTTTATTTCACCTAAAACTACATTTCAAAGAAACGAAGACATCGCGGAGAGCGACAAAGAAAATGACACGCAATACGAAGTCTATGAAACAAAGAGATTCATACAAAGTAAGAGAAATATTTTTTTTCTCAATATTATAGAAACAGATGATCCATTTGAAACTAGGGGTTTCGGCTATTTGCCTAGGCACTAGTGAAAACTGTTGCAACAACCTAAAAAAATCGTTTAATCACTCATTCTTGATTTTGATTGTTTTAAACGTACCCTGAGTATTCCCAACTTTTAATTTTTTTCCAAAAGTGTTGTTGTCGTGTTTCTTCAATTAGTCTAATTTCTCATCAAAGTTAACGTTTTCAATTTGCCGCCTCACTCATAAACACTTGATTAACCAACACGCAACTCGTCGAATAGGACAACAGTAAACGTTTAGAAGCACTGAACCCAAACACGCATTACAAGAACTATCGAAGGATCGCGTCTCCCCCCCTTCACACTGGCTTGTGAGGATCAGTGTGTTACATAGAAAACTGGTGGAGCACCAGATTCGTGGGAAATCAGACGATCGGACACGAGTAGTTGTGGTAGCGAACGGACGCGCCACATTCTGAATGTCGTCTGGTGCGAAGTCGCTACACATACAGGCCATTCCAATAATCTTAACGTTTAATTTTAACACAATATTTGTCTTCCTTCTTGTCCAGATTGTTTACTTACTCCGCACCCGCCTTACGCAGTAGAAAGAAAGTTATGAAGTGCTGCGTGAAAAACGGCGAATTTCGACAGAAAAACTCTTATTACAGAGCCCTGCTAACGAAAAAGTGGTTAATACAGTTGCTAAATTAGAAAAAATCTTCTAACACTTGGTGTAGCCAGAATCCATGTTTTGTGGGTCCTTGATATACAAAAATTGAATGACGCCAAAACGTATCCAACAGTGAATAACGCTAGCGCTAAAACCGTTCAGCGCAACATTGATAATTGCACAATCGATCTGTGTGTATGCCGCGCCCCCCTTTGAATTTGAAACGGATATTTTTTAATATTCTTTAACCACTTCAACAACTACAATTATGGAGAGATATTTTCCGTAATGAAATCTGTTACTTAAAAATTGATTTTAAATAAAGTCATGTACAATTTTTGTAAAGTTTTGAGTGCTTTGGCGTAATTGTGCGTGAAAATACGGACGAGAAAGTAGGTGCTGTTTTAGCACTAGTTATAGTATAAAATTACTTTCGTTTCCTCGTTAGAGGGTTTCCGTCTTCCAGTGTACTTTTCATTGCAAAATAGTTCGTTCTGAGATTTTTCCGTCGAAAAAAGGTTCCACCGTACCCAGGTTCAGCTAAAGGCAGTGTACCATTAATAAAGCTTCTTCGGTTTGTTAATCTCAATAATTTTTATTTCAAAAACGGTCGTGTCTTAATCAAAGTGCGATTGATTGGCTAGTAAGATAGTTCCCCAGCTGGATGGTGGGATCCGGAGACGACCTACCCGTTGCTAGCGAGGTTTCTCCATCCAGGTATCAGTAGAAAACCGCCGCTGCCGAGAAACGTAATCTCATAGTGATGTGAATCTTTTAGTGAAGCGGTATCTCTTGGTGAATCTATCTCTTAGCGAAGCGAAGATAGGGTGCTTCTTGAGTTCGAAGGTTATGATTTT